AAAAAAAAAATTAAAAAAAAAAAATAAAAATAAAAATACGGGGGTGGGGGGAGGGGCGGGCACCTGGCAGGGGGGGGATGGGCTCCCCCTCCCCCTCCCCCTCCTCATCCTCGCTGTTCTCCTCGGTGGAGCCGCCGTAGGGGTCCGACCTGGCCGGGGGGAGGGGCTTGGGTGAGGCCACGCCCACCTTTCAAATGAGGCCACGCCCACCCTTCAAAGAGGCCACGCCCACCCTTTGAATGAGGCCGTGTTCACGCTCGAATGTGGCCACGCCCACTTCGCCAATAAGGCCACACCCACCTCTCCATTGAGGCCACGCCCACCTTTGAGGCCACGCCCACTTCTCCAATGAGAACATGCCCCCTCTACAATAAGGCCACGCCCCCCCGGGTTCCCCCCACTCACTCCTCTGATTGGCCGCTGTTGTCGCCTGACGCGGTGGGCGTGGCCAGCGCGGTGGGCGGGGCCTTGGCGGGAGGCCCCGCCCCCTTTTTTACCTTGGGGGAGGGGCGCGGAGGGGGCGGGGCAGCCTCAGGCTCCTCCCCCTCGCTGCTGGAGGAGGCGGAGCCGTCCAGGAGGTACCTGAGAGGGGGGGGAGGGGCACAGGTGAGGCCACGCCCACTTCAGAGGGTTTGGAATGTGGGTGTGGCCAAGGGGGCGTGGCCATCCTGGGGGGGGCTCCCCCAGGTGTGGGCGTGTCCCATCCAGGTGAGTTCTTGGGTGGGCGTGTCCTGCCCAGGTGTGTCCGGGTGTGTTCTGGGTGTGTCCAGGTGTGTCCAGGTGTGCCAAGGTGTGTCCAGGTGTGTCCAGGTGTCCCCCAGGTGTGCCAAGGTGTGCCCAGGTATGGTTTCATCCCCCCCAGGTGTCCCCCAGGTGTGTTCTGGGTGCTCCCAGGTGTGTTTTGGGTGCTCCAGGTGTCCCCAGGTGTGTTTTGATCCCCCCCAAGGTGTGTCCAGGTGTCCCCAGGTGTGTCCCCAGATGTCCTCAGGTGTATTTTAACCACCCCAGGTGTCCCCAGGTGTGGTTTTGGTGTCCCCAGGTGTGTTTTGGGCTCCCCCAGGTGTCCCCAGGTGAGCTCACCTGTCGCACTCCACTCTCCTCCCCCTCCTCTGACATTCCCAAATCCACTCCGGCCCCACCACGACCCCCCCGGCGCTCCGGGCCCGCGCCGCCTTCGGCGTCCTGGCGAACGCACACCTGTGCAGGTGAGACCCCCAAACCACAGGTGAGACCCCAAAACCCCTCAGGTGAGACCCCAAAACCACAGGTGAGACTCCCCAAACCCCTCAGGTGAGACCCCCAAACCACAGGTGAGACCCCCCAAACCCCCCAGGTGAGACCCTCAAACCCCCCAGGTGAGACCCCAAAAATAAACCACAGGTGAGACCCCAAAACCCCCTCAGGAAGGGTGGGGGAGGGGTCCAGGTGAGCCCCAGGCAAATGGGGGAGGGGTCAGGTGAGGTTCAGGTGATTGGGGGAGGGGTCAGGTGTGCCCCAGGTAATTTGGGGAGGGGTCCAGGTGAAGTTGAGGGGTTCAGGTGAGTTGGGGAGGGGTCCAGGTGAGTCCCAGGGGTTCAGGTGAGTTGGGGAGGGGTCCAGGTGAGTCCCAGGGGTTCAGGTGAGGTCGGGAGGGGTCCAGCTGTGCCCCAGGTGTAATTTGGGGAGGGGTCCAGGTGAATCCCAGGGGTCCAGGTGAATCCCAGGGGTCCAGGCGAGGTGGGGAGGGGTCCAGGTGAGGTGGGGAGGGTCCAGCTGTGCCCCAGGTGAGGTGGGGAGGGGCCCAGGTGTGCCCCAGGTGTAATTTGGGGAGGGGTCCAGGTGAATCCCAGGGGTTCAGGCGAGGTGGGGAGGGTCCAGCTGTGCCCCAGGTGTACCCCAGGTGTAATTTAGGGAACCCCCAGGTGAATCCCAGGGGTTCAGGTGAGGTGGGGAGGGGTCCAGGTGAGTCCCAGGTGTGCCCCAGGTGTAATTTGGGGAGGGGTCCAGGGGTTCAGGTGAGTTGGGGAAAGGTCCAGGTGAGTCCCAGGGTTCCAGGTGAATCCCAGGGGTCCAGGTGAGTTGGGGAGGGGTCCAGGTGAGTCCCAGGGGTTCAGGTGAGGTCGGGAGGGGTCCAGCTGTGCCCCAGGTGTAATTTGGGGAGGGGTCCAGGTGAATCCCAGGGGTCCAGGTGAATCCCAGGGGTCCAGGCGAGGTGGGGAGGGGTCCAGGTGAGGTGGGGAGGGTCCAGCTGTGCCCCAGGTG